TGTTGATGTTGTAGTTGTGGTTGTTGTTGATGTCGTTGTTGTTGATGGTGTTGTTGTTGTAGATGTTGTAGAAGTTGTTGTGGTTGATGCCGTTGTTGTAGAAGTTGATGTTGATGTCGTTGTTGATGTTGTAGTTGTTGTTGTTGTTAACGTTGTTGTGGTTGATGGTGTTGATGTTGTAGAAGTTGTTGTTGATGGTGTTGTTGTTGTTGATGTGGTTGTTGTTGATGGCGTTGTTGGTGTAACGATTGTAACTGAATCTGTAACATTCACTGAATTCATCCAGTCCGAGTAAGAAGTCAGGCGTGTGTAGACGCTAGCATATGGCGCTACTGCACATCCGTGCCCGTACGACGTAATACCAACGACAATCCACTGTTGAGTCGACGTGAACATCATAATAGGACCCCCTGAGTCACCTTGACATGTATCTATATATAGATATATAAATATATATTTATGATGTCGTAAAAGTCTCTTCCAAAACGTTCGGGTGGTGGGTGTGGGTGTCAGTGAAGAGAAGGTGATTCCACATCCACACCCACAAAAAACGTTTTAGGAAAGGGCTTATGAAATATGCTGTATACAAAACTTCATAAAAATACATAAACATCTTTCTCTTTTGACTGTTACCTTTACTACTATCGTTGACTGTAGCGCAGAATTGTTTTGTTGTGTCATACACGAGAGGCTGACAGCCGATACTAGAATAGGACACTGCTTGAAGCGTCACTTGTTGGAGTGTTAGTGATAAGGAACCACCTTGAGCCAATGATCCCCATCCAATTGCTACAAGCTGAAAGTGAAAAAATAGTTTAGAACATTATTGAAACAGTGATTTAATAGGAGAAGTATATTTACTGTGGAATTAATGGGTGGATAAATTTGTGTAGTGTTGGGTGGCAAACATATTTTAGCTAGATTTGTATCACTCATATCGAATGATCCGTTGAGTTGAAGTAAAGCAATATCGTTGACAAAAGTTGATGCAGTAAAATTGGGATGCACATAAACGTTGAGTACTGCAATCTCTTGCGTGAAAGTTGTTAGAGAATTCGATCCTGCATAGACATTTATGAGGGAAGCATTTTTTCCGAATACACAATTTGCTGCTGTCAGGATCCAGGAGCTTGACAAAATTGTCCCACCACACATTAGGTAGCTGCTATTGAACGTCAGTGCCACAGCCCATCCCCAAGATTGTGGTTGTGCAGCTTCTCCACCCACAATCTTTGTGAGTATTGCCGTCTGAGCGGAACAACCACATGATGCGCTCGAATTGCATGTGTATGCTGTTTGATGGCTGGATCGTGTGATGACAAACAACACGAGAAGCACATACACTAATTCCATCGACTATAATACGAAGAAAACAACGGTGATAGTGTAATGTACTTTTTCTTTGCACAATCTGAATCTCTTATTCTTGTGAGATGCAGTCTTGGGGAAAAGTTTCATAAAATATACTTACGAATAGAACTTAAATTGAATACATATTTTGATATGGGAAACATAATTTAAAACAAAGAAAAATATAATCACATTATTCATCGTTACTCTGTATTTATACCCTATTCGTCTTGACAGATGAGACATGTAAAATCCAAAAAGCAGCCGGAAAATGAATTTCATTGAGCTATGCATGGTTCGATATAGTTTGCGATGCAAACTTGTAATATCACCTTTAAAAAAAATTTCGCCTTGTTTTAGTTGCAACTCTTCAAATGCAAGGGACCTCTGAAAAGCGGGTAAAGCACCGATTTGTAGAAATCTAGAATTTTCATGTACTTACTCTTACTATTTCTTCTGCAAATTATTTCATTCATATATAATTCAACAAAATCCCATTCTCCGCTGTTTTATTTTGAGGCGGTAGGTATGGTTATAGCTATGGAATCATTCTCGTTATCCCCACCCACACTCACCCTCAAGATAGTAACACGCTTGAAAGCATGTGTAACGGATCACTAAGAAAAAAAAATTGTTTGGTTTTCTTTTTCACGCGGCAGCTACGATTATGAGCAAAAGACACCTAGCTTCTTTTTTTTCTCTATGTGTTTAAAGGCGTTTTCAACCGTTCTATATCAATCTCAATAACGATTCTTTTCTTTCGTGCGTAATAGGTGCTCTTCACAACAGACAATTTCTTTTTTTCTTCATGAAAATCGCTGAATATACAATAAATGAAGTACAAGCGTAAAATTTTGTTTTTCAAACTCAGCTTGGTATATAACTAAAAAAGTGTCAATAGCTGTGTTGTTTTCCTATAACTATTGACAGTTTAAATCAACTATGAACGTTGAAAAATATATCAGCGAATTCAACGTTTTTAGTCCTATCATCCATCTTCGGCATATATTGAAATAAAAAATAAAATATTTGATTAATTTCATGGGTTAGGAATAATTAGTTTCAAGTCTGACAACAAGCAATGAGCTAATATTAGAATAGAATCTAGGGAATATTTATCTGTTGTTATGTTGATAAGATTGTAAAGACTTTAAAATAGAAAACGTAAATGAAAAAGTGTTACCATACTTGATGTAATAGATTGTAATGGTTTAATGATCCTGTGTTCTTCGTTTGGATGTCAACGAGTGACTGAGATACATACTCTTTATGGCATATAATATTTCTATGGTTTCTGACACTTGCAATAAATATTTTTTTTCTTGTTTTATCATCTACGAGACGCACGGTTGCACATTATGTCTTCTCGTTAGACAGGACGAGCTCTTCCATATAGCAGGACATAACATTTTTACTACGTATATCGTTGCTAAGGAAGTCGAGAAAAAGAAATTTCTCTTTAAAAAAAATATCATCGTATCATGTTTATTAGTGTGACAAAAACGGAAA